GTAGAATAGAAGGGCTGCTCCTAAAATCCATTCTCATATTTACAGTTTTAAGCATGTTCAGCTCCAGATTAATCTAGCTGCACCACATGGCCACTTGTTCAACTTCCCATCTACATGCAGACTCATCACCATCTCAGATGAAGCCAATGACTGTTGTATAATCTGCAACTTCAGCATCAGACAGAAGACCAGTGGAGAAAGCCCATGGGCCTGCCCAGCTACTATATGTAATTTTCCCTAGCTTCACCCATTGCTTCCTATCTGTCAAAAAGTACCAGAAGACTGCTATTCTATGTCCCGCAGATACTAGTTGTATCTGCATTATGTGCATTTTCATGCTTTAACTGGTACTCATATGCACCCAATATGTTCTTGTAAGACCCACCCAGAAGAAGAAAAAAAATTGGAAATTGCTTTCCTGGAATAGGAATAGCTGGGAGGAGACAAATGCAGGGGAATTTGTTGTTCTGGAACAGTGTAGCCTGTTGCCAAAGACTCTTAGTCTAAACAGGTGATTCCAAAACAGGCAGCAGAAGAAGAACAACTCAAGCATGTATAAAGATATTCCCTAAGTTCTGTAGGAGGTATTCCTACCTCTCATTTAAGGCACTTAGCACTTTTTAGTTTTGTTGCAAATATCTTCTGCAAAATGTCTATGTGAGGTTCCCAAAAACAATATATAACTGAAAAATAAGTAGTCCTATCAAAGCTGAGAATAGGTTTTTACATTTTTATATTTCTGAAGGGTTCACTATGTGAGACTTTATCAGGCGACCTACTTTCTCCAGTGATCTTTTCTTTTTCATTTTGTTATTTTCTTCCTCCTATTACCGTTTTATGTTGATTAGGATAATAATAAAAGTTGGAAATAGGATGAGTGGGAGTGGGGGAGTTGGAAATCAAGGGGAAAAGGGCAATGCATTATTTCATTACAACATTTCTTTCCATCCCGTATTCTGACATTTAGAAAAACATAATATGCATGTCTTTGTTCATTAGCATCTTCACGTTTTTTTTTAGCAACAGTTGAAAAGAAAAAAACAATATTAAATATAAACTAACCTTTTACCATTCAAACAACAAAATATGAAAGCAAAAAGAAACATTAGATGACATCTAGATTTTCAGTCCACACATAAAATGAGAGCCTTGCCATGTAATATTCAGTTTGTGCCTACCTTGTCCGAAATTTCTCATATTGTGGTGGTATCGATTTTATGATGATGATTACATTGTTGCTTACCAAATTTGTTCCTGGATTTGTTCCAAGGCTGTTCCAACTATCCACTGTCATAATTCTTTATTGTTCACATTCCATATATTCTAGTGGTGTATAGGATAACGGATGTTTATGAGCTATTGCATTAAGTTTTGTGATGTTTTTGGGTTACACATCTCAGTCAGCTTGCAGCTAGACCAATCAACTAAGTTTGAGAAAACATCCTGGAATGATTTATTAAACATAGATGGAAGATTAATTAAATCTGGCCTTATCCTTGAAAAGCAGAATATTCTGACAGCCTTTTGTTGTCTATACATGGCAAGAGCTTCATCTCTATATATGGCTATTTCTCCTCCAAGACAAAAATCAGATGAAAGGCATGATGTGTTTCATGGAAAACATGATGACAATCCCATGGTATATTCTTAGATATGCATGACATTTAAATTACTCAAAACAAAAACAAAAGAGGACCCTGTGAAGATCAGTTGAATCTACATAGTGATTCTATAAAGTGGCAGAATTCATGCTTCTATATGATCATTCAGAATGAAGTAAATGCCCTTAAAGCTGGTCTCAAGTAGATGAGAAAAGAATGTGGTATTCGTATAGAGTATTGCAATACATCTCCTTGATCAACATATCTGACTAGTATAGTATAGTATAGTATAGTATAGTATAGTATAGTATAGTATAGTATAGTATAGTATAGTATAGTATAGTATAGTATAGTCTCCATATCACACACTAGTAAACTTCTTGATTCATCATAAGATGATAAAATTTATCTTTTTAAAATCAAGACCAAGTTGATATCCAAGAGTATCAAGGCATCAATAACTTTATTTGCTGTATCCGACTATCCTGATAGTAGAAGATGCATAGGATGAACCATTATAACTGAATGATTTTAACAGAACAACATCTACCTCGGCTCCCTTTCTCCCATGCCACTGTTCTATTGGGTGAAAGTAAAGACTACTTATTAGAACTTCCTCTAAAGTTAGAAAATATAGCACAAACTAGAAAAACAAACAGCAAATATTAATATAGTTAGTAAAACCCTAACCAAGAAGAATGGTTATACTGCTATAAGTAAACAACTATTATTTCTGTCTGTCTGTCTGTCTGTCTGTCTCTCTCTCTCTCTCTCTCTCACACACACACACAATATTTTCTCAGTCTTCTGACAAGACTCTCATCCAACTTCTCTATCCCAGTATATGGATGATAGAGACAACTGCCAACTTTTCAGCTTTTATCTCATCTTAACCATTCAGGTGCTCATACAAAAACAAAAAAAAAGGAAAATTTTCCAAATGGTTTATTGTTTCTTAAAGTGGCAAGTCAAAGACCCAAATCCCTTTGGCAACTCGTCCACTGAAGTTAGTCCATTATCTGCTTCTGGTTTGGAATTATATGTTTCTAGGTCTGTAGTAGGAGAATTTTCTTCTCTTCAAGTCCTAAAATAGCTGCTGCTAATTGTGGTATATCTATTTTCCCTGTTGTCAAGGTTGAAATCATATTCCATTTTCTGCCTACCTTCTAAAATTCTCTGCAATCCCATCTCATCAGTAATGATTGACCTGATTTAAGAAATGATCCTATGATGTTGGTTTTAATTTAGCTAAATCAAGTAGTACTAGTATTCATTTTAGTTACTTTTTATATCACGAATTCAGTTTTGGAAGTAGTTTTCTGTAATTCAGTGTCTGGGTTGTATGGGGTAACTAAGTAATAACAAATGGTAGGCTTCTGTGGAGGTATTGGTACATTGAACCAATACAATGCCAAGCAGTAGATTCAACACTGTGAACTTAAACTGCTGATAAAAAATGAAGAATCTTAAATATTCTATTTCCTATTTCTGTATTCTGTTTTCTATTATCTAAGCTCTGAACTACTAAAATCTGATGATATGCTTTCATTTTAATTTCCCTATTTTAAAAACAACCTGAACTTATGTAAAGTGTCAACCTGCCTACCAGACTGTCAGATGGCATTCCCCCAGTGGTTGTATATGTCTGACAGAGACATGTGCCAATTAAGGGTTGTAGAGTGCTAAATTTCATCACTGCCCTCCTAGGAAAGCTTATCAGTGCCAGCAGGATGGCTGCTTGCAGAAGATACCAAATGATATTGCTGTTCTGCTCCCTGAATAGGCTTATAAATTCCTCACTATGAAAATGGTGAAAAGAGGGGTATTGGAACATAAAACATTTCTTGATACAGGATGGCACTAAACTAAATAATGGAGCCGGAGCCAGGCTAGTAGTATGACAGGTCACATATCCATCTGTTATAGAAGTTAAGGAAATGGTCAGCAACGGAACTTATTAACCTTCAAGGCAATACAGGAAAGTCCCTCAACAATTACATTAATCAATGTGTAACTCTAACTATAGTACAGCCCAATTCTAGATGTTTTGTAATAAAATAGCAAAAAATATTCAGAGGTATTGAAGTACACGAATTCTGCTTAATTCATGACTTTACATGGAGCAGGAACCTATTGCCTGCAGATTATTAGCAGGTGGTTTTTACATTTAAAAAAAATATAAAAGTGGTAGTATGAATAATACATTTTAAGATGCTTTTGGATCCAAAGTTTTGGTGAAAGCTCTTTAGGATTTCTCTGGTTTCTTGATGGTTGATTCAATCAGAGCCCTAGTTGGAATGACGAAGTACCTTAGGAAAATGATGTATTTTATTCTCCTCCTGACCAAGTAGTTAGCCATTAGTTGGGAATGTTCTAGCTATAAATCTCTTGCATTTAGATAGAAATTAAATTATAAGAATTACATTCTTTTCAGCTGCCGGGCACTAGCATATGAATTTATTATTCCAGGCACTCCAATCACATTTTTTTTTAAAATTAACAACACTGAAATTTAAGATTACTGTCAAATCCAGAAAGAATTGATAATCTTTCTCTGGTTCTTGGGGGAGGATGCTGAAATCTCATGAGACTGTCAGTATGATATGCTAAAACTTAATGAGATTCATTCATTCATTCTCTTTCTTTCTTTCTTTCTTTCTTTCTTTCTTTCTTTCTTTCTTTCTTTCTTTCTTTCTTTCTTTCTTTCTTCATAAACTATGTCTAGGAATGTTATGGGTTCATGCTTTGAGGCCAGTCTGTAGACTACAATATCTCCATGTCTATGATTGCATAGTAATAATTCATTTATAATTTGTTCAATACTATTGTATTATAAAATATTTGATTCTAGGATTGCCAGAATTAATTATTTTTGCCCATTAATTTTTAAACAAGACTCATCTATACAGACTCATCTATGCACAGCTCTTAAAGCTACTGAATCTGGGCTACAAAAATTCAGACCAATTAGGTAGAAGAAAGAAACATTGAAAACTGTCTTTGTTAGCATCTTGTCATCATCTGTATTATTTTCAGACTGGATCCATTAACCCTAATAGAATCTCCATACTGGTTTACAATAATAACATTTCAATTTGTTCAATGGGTAAAGTCTGTCAGTCCGTCCATCCTTCCTTCCTTCCTTCCTTCCTTCCTTCCTTCCTTCCTTCCTTCCTTCCTTCCTTCCTTCCTTCTATCACTAACACTTGCAAAGGAAATGCTGATTGTTATGGATACTTGTTCAGGCAATACTCATGCCAGTTAAGCAAATGCTTAAGCAATTCATTTAATTATGTTAAGCACCCATTAACAGCAGCCTAAACTTTCTCCTGGGCTGTATCAGTGTTATGAGATTCTGATTGTTAGAGACTAACCAAGATTTTCTTCTTATGTCTGTAGGTTATTTTAATTCTGACAAAGTTGTATGACTACAACCTGGGGAGTATCACAGAGAGCTCACTGTGGAGGTATGTAGATAAGCTGAACTAATAATTACTATTTTCTTTTAAAATAGACTTTCATTAAACTTAAATGAATTTTTTATATGCTGAAATATTTGTATAACACTCTACATGGTCATTTGGGGCTGTTCTAATCCTTTAGAAGCAGGAATGTCAACAAAAATACATTCTTTCCACCTAGTTACTTTTCTAAAAGTGTAATCTAGAGTGCACTTTATCTTTGTTGAAGACCAGATGAAAGGAATTTAGTTCTGATTTTTTTTAAAAAATTCACAAGATTTCAGTGTCAGAATATTTTAAACAATTATACAAATTCTAACCCTAGTTTCTTCCTCAACAAACTGGTTGTGACAGCATTTCCCCTGTTTTTTTGGAGGGTTTTTTGTTTGTTTTAAGCCTATGTCTATTGTTCTTTCAAAAATACCCTAATCCCATTTTTTGAGTGCTAATCCCTCTGTATTTTAGAGGCAAAAGTATAATTTGATAAATGCAGTACTTCAGAAAGTACCTGTCAGGCATACTGAGCAGTGGTGGGATCCTCCGGGTTTAACAACCGGTTTGGTGATCACACAATTTACACAATCTATCAAACCAGGTGAAATGAAGTATAATAAGTTATTTTCCTGACTGATACTCTCTGCCCTTTTGTTCCCACATCCATTAAAGATTTCTAGTAGATAAAATGCTGTGTTATTTCAGTGAGATGTTAAGACAGGTTTTTAAAGATGTTTGATAAGATGCCACTGGATGCTGTTCCCTTAGTCATGTTACTTTATTTAGGTCTTGGTATTTCTACACTAACAATATCAAATGAAATGAAAAGAATAATATCTTAGTTCTTTGATGGTTTGAACCCTTTCATGTCTACTGTTAATCAAAAGAAATATTAATCCTAAAAGTTTTGATTTTGTTGTTGAAAAAATTGTGTTCAACTTCTGAAGACTGAAGAGGGTAGGGAATAGCAACTTTGGCCTTTCCCAGATAGTGATTTAGAACCCTTATGATAACATAAATTAAAAATAAAGCAATATCTTAACACTCTTAACTCTTGTTTAAATTTAATGGAAAATTTGCAAACAAACTATTTTAAATCTTAAATCTTGTATCATATCATATTTTTATATATTTTACATTGAGTTTGGTACCATTCATAATATTTTGAAAGTTCCCAGGTTGGATGAAGAAACTTTTAACATGATTGATTGGAATAGGATTATTTTCTGACATTCTTTACATGACATTGAAAGGTATATGATTTAGAGTGGATGACCAGTTGGAAAGGCACCAGGTCCAACATCCTGTTCAGTCAAATAATACAAACGGAAGAATCCAGATGGTTGTGTAAACTGCCCTTGAAACATTCATTGAAAAAGAATTCACAACCTCCCTGAATTATAGTCACATTTCTCTTGATGTTGAGAGATTTTGTTCTCTGTCAGAATCTGCCTTCCTATAATTTTAATCCATTAATGTGTCTTCTACTATTTGGAATAATGGAAAGAACAGATCTTGACCACGTATTAGACATCCATTTATATTTTATTTTTTTAACCCTGCCCTGCCCTGTAGATTTCTTGATAAGGGTTTTCAGAAGTACTTTGCCATTGTCTGCTTCCTTGGCTGAGATGGAGTGAGAGCCGAGGTGGTGCAGTGGTTAGAGTGCAGTACTGCAACCATTTCAGCTGACTGCTATCTGCAGTTCGGCGGTTCTAATCTCACCGACTCAAGGTTGACTCAGCCTTCCATCCTTCCGAGGTGGGTAAAATGAGGAC